ATTCCTTCACTCTACTCTGGATATACCTACTGTACCTAGCTGATTGCCTCCTCAAATTCTGAGTTAGTTCTCTTCTCTGGAAAAGACATTTTCCCAGGATGTGTCTGTAAGTTCTTTGAAGGAACCATCAAAGAAAAATTGTAGTATATAGAGTTAAAGAGGCTTACATTAAGACTATTGCTATACAAGACAGAGCTTGAACTCAACTTGGAATACAACTGGTGCAGCTAGGGACGTACAGCCAACGGGCAGGGGAAGAGAGCCACTGGATGGAAAATTGCTAAAAAAAAAACCAAAAACACACACAAAAAAACCTCGATTAAATATTTAGTGGAGTAGAAGGGACTTGATTTGGTATCAAGGGTAGGGGTTTCCCACCTAAATTGGCGGCAGACTCTTGCCCAAACTGGACCCAATGGGGTTCTTTATTACACTGGGCTTGACAGGCCAAGGACAGAGCCTTGCTCAGAAGAAGGCTCAGAAGAGCCTCACTTGTTTGGTGGAGGAGGGAGTCCTTGTCAACACCCTCAGAGAGTCCCCCAGCTTCATAAAGGCACAGGAGAGCCACGGAGCATGTGGGGAACCAGCAGAAGTATACGTGTGCCCTCCCAGCCCCGTTCGTGTCGGGCTGGTTCTGCCTCCCTATGGCACCTGGTCCATGGCCTTCTCCCCAGGCTTGGGTCCCTCGGGTGCAGACACCCCTCTACCCAGGCCTTTTCCATTACCTTAATTTAGAGGATTGGAATAAAGTCTGAATTCGTGGATTTGAGCGAAGACAAGTGGGTCCTTGATGGCGAATATGATCATAATGATTATATCATTAGATTCTCTTTCAATATTTAAGCCGTATTTCTTCCTTCTGCTACTGTCCCTTCACAAAGTTTCAGGAGGGCAGCTGGAAGTCTACTTGTGGTACTGAGTTGGGTTTGGTGTGGACGTCAGTGCTGCGTGGCTGAGAGAACCACGGGCCAGAGGTCAGCTGGTTGGAGGAAAGACTGCAGGTGCAGGCTTTCCAGATGGGGAAGGCCTCAGGCCATTTCCGAAGAGAGCAGACGCTTTGGGGGAGGCCTCATCGCACTAGCATCAAGGAGGTGGGAAGAAGGCAGGACTGCACCTGCTGTGGCAACAGCCCGATCAGAAGAGGTTACTTCCCTTTGCAATTGCCATCGTCACAGGCCATGTGAGTGGAGGTACCATCAAGCTCCCCCAGTGGGAACCCGAAGAATCTGTTTTCATACACTTAGTAGCCTTAGTTTGTTACTTAATTTCTGTGTAATCAGTGGTAATTAATAATAGGAGCTAATAAATATTTGTAGTCTAATGAATTACTGGAATTGGGGAGAGTGGGACTTGACTTTCTGTTATGAGAACATTAAAATGTTGAAGTAAAAGGAATCTGAAAAAGATCACTGGATTTAAAGGCTGTGATTCATGTGTACAAAACACAGATACCTGTCTTTTCCTTTTTTTTTTTTTTTAATATCTATCTCTTCCTAATTTAGCTCCTGTCCTGTTGGAAGGAAATCTTTCCTTCCTGTGGCCTGTTTCTCATCATTCTAAAGGTAAATGAGTGTACAGACTTCCTAGGTTTGATCTTTACATCCAACTCTATCCTGTCTACACAGTGAGAATAATGTCCCTCGAGCACATTTTTGTCCCCGAGTCTCAGCTTTGGTGGTTCAGTTGTTGGTGTGAAGACACCCCACCCTGCGCTGCCTATGTTGGACGGGGGCACCAGTCAGGGAGCATCATGCCACCTCCAGGCTGCCCTCCAGGAATTTGGGATGGGTGGTGGGAATGAGGAGGAAGGAGAGAGGACAGATGAGTGGTTCTTGTTGCAAGAGTGAGAAATGCCTTGGGCATGGGGCTTGGCGCCTCTGCCTCTGTGCAGGGCAGACTGAGAGCTCCAGGGGACACCTACGAACCTGGAGATGTTGAAGATGCTGCTTGCCCCAGGAAGGTGAACTTTTGAAAATGGAATTTAATTCCCGGGTTCTTTTGTTGATTCTCATTGGGAAGTTGAACGTTGCTGCACGTTCAGATGTCCCATGTACTATAAAGTGTAAGATGTGCTTCCTGAGAGGTGGCATCAAGCCAGACTCAACCCAGCTTGAGGGTTCCAAGTCCAGGGTGCTGGCCGCTACTCCACGGGCTGATGGGAAAGGTGAACACATCTATCCACAGCCGTGGTTAAGTATCTCCTTGGAATAAATGCAGTAACTCCAACCCAGAGGTGAGTCGGGCTTCCCTGGGAACAAGCTGATAATGAAATCTGATGCTGTGTTGTCGCTGAAGAGGCAATGAGTGAAACAGAACTCAAGGCATTTGGGGCACTCTCCAGCCCACTTCTGCTGCTATCCCGACTTTGTGAGGTCTGCAGCCCAGGCACCTTAGAGAGCCCTTGTTTAAGAAAAAGAATACAGTTACCAACGCAATTAGATACAACCACTCTAAGGCTTATACAATATATCTGAGGATACAGTGCAGTAGAAAGAGGGGGCAGTCTTAACTAATTTCCATTATAATATACCTTGGCCCTTCTATAAAAGCGTTTCATCCAGGGCTACCCCTTCCTGGGTCTTGCAAAGGGCCTGTGCAAGTGAGGGGTCATGATAAATACTTCTCTGAGGGGCTGTTTGGCAATATCTTTCAGAGTGATCTCCCTCAACAATTTTTCTTTATGTACAAAAAAATTAAAAATATTTAAGAATGTTCATTGTAGTATTTGGCAATATCAGAGATCTGAAAATGTGCTCATTCACTTAATGGAAATACTAGCCAGATACTAAAAAGCCTGGGCTAGAGGTGGGTACCCACATGTTGGCTTGGCAGTTTGGGGAGAGGATTTGCTTTAAATCAAAACCCAGCAATTTCTCAATTGTAATATATAGCATGAGGTATTTTTTATAAGTTTTAATTTGTGAGTTTATGTATTCATTTTATAAATAGATTTGAGGAATATATACCAAACTCAGTATGAATTTTTCTGAGAAATGGAATTGGAGGATAGAGGAGCTTTTCATTTTTTGCTGTGTTCACCTTTTCAATATATTTTTTGTTGTTGTTGTTGTTTACAGGTGTGTATCACCTTAGGTTAAAAAAAAAGATTTTATTTATTTATTTGACAGAGAGAGACACACACAGAGAGGGAACACAAGTAGGGGGGAGCAGGAGAGGGAGAAGCAGGCTTTCCACCCAGCAGGGAGCCTGGCATAGGCCTGGATCCCACTACCCTGGGATCATGATCTGAGCCGAAGGCAGCTGCTTAACGACTGAGCCGCCCAGGAGCCTAGAAACGGAATTGGGGGATAAAGGAGCTTTTCATTTTTTGCCATGTTCACCTTTTCGATATATTTTTTCTTATTTTGTTTACAAGTGTATATCACTGTAGATATTAAAAGTGAAAAACTACCAAAAAATTAACACCCTTCGGTAGAGGATTTAGAAGTCTTGTTTACTCCATGTTGACCGCGTACTGCGCTCAGCGCGGGTGTGATCATAAGGATACAGAAAATGAAAGGGATAGAAGATGGAACCCATTACTGCAAAGATGAGCAGTTGGCTAGGGGGAAACCACGAAAGACAAATGCAACACGTTAACAGTGCCTAGGAAACTGGGGAGGCTCCTTTGAAGATCCGATGATGCTTCCAGGGCACAGAAGCAAAAATCTTATATACAATTTCACTGGGTTTAGGGACTCACTCAAGTCCATTAACATAAGCTAAGGGCAAGAATTTTTAATTTAGAGATTTCCAAAAGAAATGTCCTGATTCTTCAAAGCCTCTTGAATTAGAAATGCCAACATGAGTCATCGGAGGGGACCAAGCAGAAGGAAAGAATGGAGAGGGGGAGTCATCCAGCCATTCAGCAAACCCTCCTCGGGGCTGTATTGTTCACTGAGGCTGATAACCAGGCCGGGCCGGCTGGATGGGGAAGAGGAAGAGGAATCAGGACCGGCACCGCGGAGCTGCGGGGGCTCCCAGGCCTCCGCGCCGGGCGCCCGCCCAGCCCTTCCCGGCTGCGCCCCGCCTCTCCAGGCCCGCCGTCGCGTGCACCTGCCGCCGCCGTGGCTGCGGAGCGCGCGGCCCCAGGGAGCACGCGGCGGGCGGGAGGTCTCCGCGCTCCCGGGAAGGGATTCGCCATCGCCGGGGGAAGCGCCCCCGCTGCGGGTCGGCCGCCTCCCCGCCGGTGAGATGGAGCGACGACACCAGATGTTTCAGCTCCTTCTCCAGCTTGGCTGGCGGCGCCTGCGGAGGGAGGCGGGGCGCAACCCGCAAACTGGCCGCAGTGGCGTGCGCCGCAGCGCTGCCCTCGCCCCAGCTTCCGCTGCGCAGGAAACCCAGAGCCGCCTGGAGCGCGGGGGTCGCGCGGCGGAGGGCGGGGCCGCCGGCTCTCCCGAGCGCTCGCTCCGGGGCGCGGCGGCCAGCGGCGACGACCACCGAGAGCTCGCACCGCCCGGAGTCCTAGAGCGGACCGGAAGTGCGCGCCGGCCGGCGGGGTCGTGCGGGCGGCGGCGGGCGCGTCCGGGAGCCCGCGGGCGGGGAGGCTGGCCCTGGGCCCGCGCTTCTCGGAGGCGGGAGCCGCGGCTGCGGGGAGAGCGCGGGTGTGCGAGCGGCCGCCGGGTTCGGCTCCGGAGCGCCTTGCCGGGGCGCAGGCGTCATGAGGCCAGCAGTGGCCGCGGGCCCGTCGGGTTTCGGCGTGTTCGCCCCCGGGGCCCGCAGCGCGCCGTCGGGTGCTCGCCGCTTCCGGTCCGCGTGGGGCCGAGCCTCCCGCCGCAGGGACTCGCTCCGGTGACTGCCCAGCGCTGTCACGGACACGAGTCCTCGCGCTCCGCGGCCGCCGTCGGCCTGTGTTCACGGAAACGTGCCGGACGGAGCGCGGGGGCGGCGCGCACCTGCCGGGACCCCGGGTGCGGTGAGACCCGGGTGCGCACCGGTGAGACCTGGGTGCGGTGAGACCCCGGTGCGGTGAGCTGCGCGCTGCGCTGCGGGCTCTCGGGATGGCCACGGCCTCCGGGGTTCTCCCGGCCCTGGCTGGCTGGGCTGCGGGGGAGCGTGGGGAGATTATCAGAGTGAAGGTTAAAGAGGAGGACCACGTTTGGGATCAGGAGTCCTGCTTGCACAAGAATGTGTCTCTCACCCGGGAGCTCTGCCGCCTGCGCTTCCGGCAGTTCTGCTACCAGGAGACCCCGGGGCCCCGCGAGGCGCTGAGCCGGCTGCGGGAGCTCTGCCGCCAGTGGCTGCGGCCCGAGACGCACAGCAAGGAGCAGATCGTGGAGCTGCTGGTGCTGGAGCAGTTCCTGACCATCCTGCCCGAGGAGCTGCAGGCCTGGGTGCGGGAGCAGCAGCCGGAGAGCGGGGAGCAGGCGGTGGCCGCGCTGGAGGACCTGGAGAGGGAGCTGGATGAGCCTCGACAGCAGGTGAGAGATGGCAGGGCCCCAGCTTCCCTGGAGAGTTTGAGTGTGCGGGTCCAAGGGGGAGTCGCGTGGTCGGCGTCACGCAGATGGGTGCATTATCCGTGGATCACTGGTGCCGAGGAATACATTGGCCCTCGTGGATAACAGTGTCGATGTAAGTGATAGCTGATCCAGATACGCAGGTGATGTAACCACACAGGAACCCTGATCTATTGCTTACCAGTAAGCAATGTATTTTATTTAGTGACTGTGAGCTTTAATCTCTTATGGTGAGCTCTTGTGGTGCCCACACCCTAGCTGTATATGAAAACAAAGCAGTAAAAGAACGGGAGGAATACCCTTTAGGAGAGACAAGTAGAGAAGCAGCCAAATGTAATAGAATTGTCCAGAAACGGTGAATGAGGAGATTTGGGTTCCATAGTAGGCCCTGTCACGTTGGACCTGTCACATCTTCTCTGGGCTTCAGTGTGTTCATCCGTACAACAGAGAGACTCACGGCGTCATTTTCTAGATACTTCCTAGTACGTGGAGTAGTTGGCATGCGAAGTGTGTTGAACCCAGCGTTTGGTCTTTCCCCATCACACTAGAGGTTATTTCTAAGAGAGTATGCCTTCCTTTTAGGACCGTAATCGTCAACCATTATGGGTATTGCCAGACCCTCGGACGTGTCTCTAGTGATACGGTCCATGCACTGATCTGAGCCCTTGGAAGGTGAGCATTTCATGTACACAGTCGGAAGCGCTACAGCACGCTTCTCGGAAATGCAAAGCTTTCATACGAGACCGACCCATGGGAACGGGAGTCCATGTCATGAAGACGTGCTGACTTGCACACGAATTTTACCAGCAAGTACATGTTTTGGGCCGCCGGGTAAGAGCACCTGAGGATAGTGGAATGCAGCCCATTGTGAAGGCCAACAGCACCGTGCCCAGGGCCCACTCACCTCCACACCCTTCCTCTGGGCTCTCACAGCCGCACTCTCGGTTTTGGAAATGCTTATTTGCATGGTTCCCTCCTGTCTTCGTGCATTTTTTGTTAAACTTTTTTGTGTTCCAGAAAATGAGCAAGCACGGGGGTTTACAGGTGCCTCAGGGGCATGCTGGTGATAAAATTTCTGCTAGTGACCATAACGGAAGAAAAGCTTAACCGCAGGAAAGCTCAAAATTATAAAGCGCTTTGAAAAAAGAGGGAAAAACCTGTGACATTGACCGTGCATGCAGGTGGCATAAAGGAGTCAGAGGCAGTGCTGGGAAGATAAGGAGAGTCACCTCCCAGGAACCGGGCCAGTGCTACAGCGTTTGCTAGAATGAGCGTGAGGAAATGGAAGACAGGAGCACCTGTCAGGTGTGTGGATTGAGTACCAGACACAGAAGCAGTCAGAGGCAGCCTTTTCTCAGAACAAAGAGAAGGCCTTAGCAGTTTATGAAGACCTTAAGAAAAGACCTTAAAAAAGGCTGGAACTCCTGCAGAAGTAAGTGCCTTCATCTGGAAGAAGCAGTGTCTGTTCCATGACTTCAAGAACCGCCATGCCTTCCGCCATGTTAAGCTCTCGGTGAGGCTGTGAGTGCATGTGTAAAAGTGTAGACGGTTCCCCAGTGTTAAGAAAGTTGACTGATGAGGAAGGCTGTACCTGGGATCAGATTTTTAATTTTGATGAAACCAGTCTCTATTGGAAGTGGATTCCCTCGAGAGCCTGTATCCTGAAGGAAGAAACACACTCTCAAGGGCTGAAGGCCACAGAGATCATCTGGTGTGATGTTGGGTTCTAATCCTGGTGGGGCTGTAAAGCTGAAGCTGGTTGTGAGCACACTGCCCACGCACGAGCTTTGAAAGGAGTCGCAAAGACGAGCCTACTGTAGCTTTAGCAAGAGAGGCTGCCTGACAGCGTAGATACTTACTGGTTTTCTAGGTGATGTTTTTGTAGATGGTTTAAAAAAGTAACTACAGGGGCGCCTGGCTGGCTCAGTGTAGGTTAAAGCCTCTGCCTTCGGCTCAGGTCATGATCCCGGGTCCTGGGATCGAGCCCTGCTTTGGGCTTTCTATTCAGCCGGAGGCCTGCTTCCTCCTCTCTCTCTGCCTGTCTCTCTGCCTATTTGTGATTTCTGTCTGTCAAATAAACAAATAAAATCTTAAAAAAATTAAAAAATTAAAAAGTAACTTCAGGAGGAAAAAAAATTATGTTTCAAAATTCTTTCGATTCAGGAAATTATAAGCCATCCAAGCCATCTTCCAACAAATCCTGAGCTTTCTTCAAATATTAAAATTCTCTTTTCCCTTCTTAATACAACTTTGGTACTCCAGCCCCTTGATCAGGGTGTGAGCTCAGCCTTTAAGGCTTATTGCTTAAGGAGAATATTCAAGATGTTTCTTGCACCTACAAGGTGGTGAAATGCATACACAGTTTTTGCATTCTGGAATCAGTTCAACATTAAACTTGCCCTTGAGATTATTGGAGAGGTTTAGAACGACATCACAAAAACCTGCTTATTTGCCGGGTAACATGAAGTTCTCCCTGATTCAGTTCGTGAGTCCAGAGGCCGTGAGCCTTCTCAAGAGCTGTGAGCTCCCAAGAGCTCTCCCAAAGCGAAGCACAGCTGTGTCGCTCTGTCGGAGGCCGCTCATCTGATGAGTGGGCGGTGAAGGTCCGAGGAGCTGCGGTAGTCCCGCACAGAAGCCCTTGTCCTCTGGGGGCTGCTGCGCTTGGTCACTGGGGCACAGAAGGGAGGTGTGGAAGAAGTCGTTTGTGGCTCCCTCCCTTTCTGCTTCCGGCGATGGAGCGGGCGTGGCAGCGGGCCAAGGACAATGCGGATCACACGGGCTTCGCGCTTCTGTGCAAGCTCCGATTTGGAGCCATAGGAGCTGTGGTTTATGAACGACAGAAAATGTTTAAGCAGCACAGACTGGGTATCTGCTTGTCAGTCAGTGCCCGAGACGTGAAAACAAGGCGATGAGCCAGGACGGTTTCTGTGTATCTTCTGAAGTCAGCACATTTCTTGGCAAACGAGCAAAGGCTTCCCCGGTTGGACTTCCGAAGGCGGTGTCTCTGCCCCTGCTGCACCCTGTCCCGGCACCTCTTTCCCACACCGTAGCTTCCCCTTCGTAGGGTAAAGTCCTGCAGGAAATGTAGCCATTCTTTACAATGTCTTTTCGACTATGTTTTTAATGCTTTTCTTTTTACTAGAATTGCTTTAGTTTTACGGGCGCTCTGGTGACAAAGTTGTCTAGATGTTCAGTGGTCTGTCCTGCAACTTTATTTTCTCCATAAACCTTGTTATTTTCTGTGCAGCTTTGCAGAACGCATGTTTTCTCATGAGTTCACATATTCTGCGGTAGATACCTGTCTAAGCACTCTCTTACCTGTATCCTACCTATCTTCTCCCTTTGTTTCAAATAAGCAATATTGGTTTTTCCTGTAAGATGGCCTGTTACTGTAGAATTCTCCTTTTTTCGCTTTGTTGAAAAATGTAGCCATGGTAGGCCTTGGTGCTCGGTCAGTTCTCGGTAATGTTCACATTTGGTAGATTTTCATATGATTCAGGATTATAGGTATCTCCCTAGTCTTACAGAATATTACGTTTGCATACATGTTTCTCATTTTTCTTGTTCCTGTGTGATTTCTGGAGGAAGGGGGAAATGTCATCGTTGCAGGCATGTTTGGCTGCCCACTGGACACAGGTGTCCCTGCTTCAGAATGTTTCTCTCTGCCCCACTTGACGCCACTTGATTTTACAAAACCTGCATTAGTACAGGAATGGCTCCTTTTCATAAAAATGAAAATCCTCTTTGGATTTCTTCTGGTGAGAAAACAGGAACGAATGCAGTCCTTTCACAGGCGAAGCGGCCCTGGGTGAGCTGAGGAAGCGGGGAGACTGCTGTGTGCCATTTTGCTTACCGTACTTTCCATAGGATCGCTCTGCTCTCCTACGGGGGGCACCTGTGTCTGTCCTCCCCTCTGCCCTCCTTAAGACACGGTGATTCTGCCTATGGCAGCAGGTGTCCCTTCCTAAATGCTTTTCTGGGTTTCCTTGTACTTGAGTTGGCTGTGCTGCTTAGCTCTGGTTGGGCGGGGGGGAGCGGAGGGCAGGGAATAGGCATGTTTTCTGGGAGTTTCTAGGAAGTCTTTTATTTTTCTTATAAAATGCGGCAGATGTGTTCAGTTCTGTGTTTTCCCACTTCTGTTTTAAACATAAATGTGGCATCTGGAGCCATCTCAGAAACTTCTTTTTTCAGTTGATAAATTTTGAGAGACTAGGATGACAATATTAGAAACAAAAGTGTTTCTATTCATGGAGATTGCTGATGAATATAAAGTTGTAATCTGTACATTTTAAAGCATAACATCTCACTAGCTGATGTCTGAATGTTGGAATGGACTCTTTTTCCTTTTCTATTTTTAAAAATTGTAACAGCATTTAGCATAGGAAATGATGAGATGCCACTAATATCTAGTAAAGTGAATGTAATGTTATATAAAAATGTTATATGTATATTTACACCGTAGCGTTGAAAATCTCAGCACAAGGTCAGACGTCCGTGAAAACATCTGTTCCACACAGTAAGATCTCCCGGCCTTAACGTTTTCCCTCTGCCAGATCCAGACTGCATGTAGAAATCTCATACCTGAGCGTATGATGTCCTGCAAATCAGTAAGCAAGAGGACACGTTACCCCAATAAAAACATCAACAAAAGACTCAAACATGCACTGTACAAAAAAAAGATAACTAGCCAGTAAAACTGTAAAGCAATGACTCAATCTTACTAATCAGAAAAATGCAAATTAAAACAACGTGTGGTACCACTTTATTTCAACCAGCATGGATTAAAAGTGCTGACATGACCAAATTTTGGTAAGGACGTTGAGCCACTTTCTGAATGCTTATGTCCTGGTAGGACAAGTTGTTTTGGCCACTTTGGAAATACCTACCGTGTCTAACCGTGCTCTGATCTAACAAACCTAGTCCCAGGTATGTGTCTACAAGAGACACTTCTGAAGACATGTAAAATAATGCTCGTAGCAGCATTATTATAATTGCCAGAGACTCTGAACAACTGAAATGACTACTAGAAATGGGACGGGGGCACGTAGTTACAGTGTGTTTGTACCGTCGGATACTGTACAACAGTGAAAATAAATGGACAACCAAGTTCTAAAGTGTGGATGCGTTTCACAAACATGATGTTGAACAAAGAAGCCGACAAAAATAAATGCACGTTGTATGATTTTGTTTCTATAAAGTGCAAAAAGCAAAATGCCTCTGTGGGGATCTGTGTCAGAGTGGGACTTACTTTGGGGGGAGAGGGTGTGGCACAGGGAGCCTTCTGAGAGGCTGATCGTGTTCTAGGTGGTTTACTTCGTGGTAGATCATCGAGCTCTATGCTTACGAGCTCTGTGTTTTCCTAAGCATATAATACTCCAACTAAAAACCGTATTAATTACGAGGTGGCTGAGCAGCCGACCCTTGACCTCCGGGTGCTGAGATCGAGCCCCACGTGGGCCCCGCGCGGAGCGTGCAGGCTGCCGGAGAGTCTCTCTCCCTCTGCCTCTCCCCCCATCACATGCGCGCATGCTCTTTTCTCTGAAATAAATCTTTAAAAATTGTATTAATTAAAAGATTTTTATCCCACCGTGATGTTTCCTGTATGATGGTCTAGGGTATTTGACTAAATGCACATTTTTAGTTTCATGGGTCATGTGAATGAGGAATTCTTTTTGTAAAGGGAAGACCTGGGGAGGGAAATGTTCAGAATTAACTGAGTTTGCAAATGCCCCCCCAAAGGAGGAGCTGGCTTTTCCTTGGGTTTTGCCAGTGAGATGCAGAGCGTGGGTAACACGCCGGGTATACGGCAGAGTGCGGATTGGTGAGGTCCCCACATGGGGTTCTGTACCGATAGAGCGGATGTTGTTTTTGTTTTGGCCTCAAGAACATTTGGCGAGGCAGCCTGTGGACGCTTGTGTTGATCGCACTGGGGCTTCCGCAAGGCCGTTGTGCAAGAAAGCAGGCTTGGCAGGAACATGCGGTGGCCAGGCCGCCCCTGCTGGAAGGAGCCCACCCAGAGAGGCCGAGCGGCGTGTTTTGTGTTCTTGTCACTGTGAGGTCTATTAGGTAAATACAAACGAGAGTTTCTCTGCTTAGGGAGATGACAACTTACTTTTCTTTTCTTTTTTTTTTAAGTAACTTTCATTCTTGCTCTGTTTTATTTTTTTAAATAAAATTTAAAGATTTAAATTAAAATTTAAAGACTTTTATTTATTTGTGAGAGAGAGAGCGAGCGAGCGCACACATGCACAAGCAGGGGAACAGCAGGCAGAGGGAGAAGCAGGCTCCCCGCTGAGCAGGGAGCCTATGTGGGGCTCTATCCCAGGCCCCTGGGATCATGACCTGAGCTGAAGGCAGACGCTTAACTGACTGAGCCCCCAAGATGTCCCCAAAAATGGCTTCTTATGGGAGTGGGGGTGGAGTAGAATAGGAGCAAGACTTCTCTGAATATATATTTTGATTTTTTCCATAGCATGTAAATGTTTTAAATATTTAAAAAGCAATGTTACATTCAAAATGATTAAACAAACACAGAAACAGATACACTCAACTGTGTATCAAATTAATAACTAACAGCAAAACAGTAACTCAGGGGACTTGAGCACCATGTTCTGATTATGTGCTCTTAGTGCAGTACTGTGTGTGGGCACAGAAAGCCCCAGAGTGATTTTGTAGGGATGTCATTGGGAGTCTTCTACAACACAAAGCACTGTAATTCTGAAACTTCTGTGCTTATTATAGGTCACAGTAAATGAGTAGATGCAAACAGTGGATTGAACGGGGTGGTGTTCAGGAAGGAGGTGTACAGGAAGGAGATGTTAAAATGGAGTATGGAAAGCTGAAGTGCGGTGTTGAAATGGGATTGAATTCATGATAACCTACAAATGCCCTTACCAGCTCTGTCCGTGGCAGGGCCGGGACGGGGTGGTGCACCGGAACAGTGATCCCCGCTGCTGCTCAGCCTGTTACCAGCACTGTCGCTCGGAAATGAATCGAGCCTCCTTGGGGAGATAGTTGAAACTAGATCAGGACCGGGGAAATGCCATGTGGTCTGTGTGTGTGTTGTTCTGGAAAGCACAGATGTGCTGAAAACAGGAGTGGGGTCCTGTGCCAAGGATGCAGGACCCTGATGATCGGGACGTGGGGAGCTGAGTGGGAGACAGTTTAAGGTAGAGGCGAGTGAGGATGCAGTGGGCTACAAAGTAAGTCTGCACGGATGTTTAAGATGAGAGACTGGGCGCCTGGGAGGCTCTGTCGGGTAAGCGTCAGACGCGTGCTTTTGGCCCAGGTCATGACTGATGAGACGAAGCCCCCCCGCTCCCCCGCAGGCTCTGCGCTGAGCATGGAGCCTGCCAAAGCTTCTCTCCCTCCCTCTCCCCTGCCCCATGCAGTGCGCACGTCTGCTTTCCTTCCCTGACACAGAGAGAGAGAGAGATAGACAGAAACCTCTTTATAGAAGATTGCTGGCTAGTAAATGTAGAAGGAATTGTAAAGGCAGGCAGTCACCATTTTGCAACCCCCAGGATAAAAATGGACCAGAATTATCAGTGAATGCTAAAACCATTGAGGAATAGCTATTTACGTAGTTCTACACTATGACCCCGCAGCTGACTTACTAATTACAGTGGGAAACGTGAATGGATAGAGCTGGAGGCCACTACCTGAGCTAAGTGACCAAGGTCAGCATTATCCATAATGCAGTAACTCGACAGTGTGTGCCCATGACACGCCACAGCAGCACACAGCACTTAGCTAGTATTCTTCCAGAAATCACTCACCAGAGTCCACGTGCGAAGGAAGAGTAAGACAGATCCCTAATATGGAGATTCTGTAACATAACTGGCTCTGACTTTTCAAAAATTGAATGTCATAAAAAGGCAGGAAACTATTTTAGATTAAAAGAACCAAAAGATAGAATAACCAAAAACAATATATAAATATTGTTTCACAGAGTTAAAAAAACCATAAAATATGTTTTGGGGACAGTTAGGGAAATTTAATTACAAACCATATATGAGATGATTAGTGTAAGGAGAAGATAATGTTTTCTTTTTCACCCAACCCAGTGATCTAAAATAAGTGGCTTCTTTCCCCATCCATACACTGGGGTAGTGTTTTCCACATTTATTCTAAAACAACTGGCAGATTCCTTTTTGGGTTGAATAGCTCATTAGTAACTCTTAGGTAACTTGCATAGCCTCACCTCAAATATTTATTTTTAATTGCACACACTGAAATCCACTTACAGCTTTCTTTTAATTATCACGATTTAGGGAGGATTTCTTTCATGTTTTTCTGTTGTTATCCCCCATCAGAAACCGCAGGGATGAGTAGCAACTTCTGTCCAGTGGGGATAGTTGCTGTTGTATAGCTCTGGCTTTGTCAGTCCCAGAATTTTTCTCTCTTCTTGTTCCCTCTTGGATTCCTCTTAAGAATCCAGTGAAGACTTTTTTCTTCTTATGTTCTATTTCAGTAGAAGAATGTTCTGAGGTTTGTGCAATGATCACATATATTAATTTCCAGATGTACCTGTTTGTCCTCAGGTCCCACAGCACACAGATGGGCCAGAAATTCCTGTGGAGGAAATGACTCCTATGGAGACCGTGAAGGAGTCCTTCGGTGCCCAGCTCCAGCGTGTGGAAGACGGAATGGAATGTGACTCTCCAGAGCCACACCAGTCACTGCAGGACAGTGGTGAGGGACTCCCTACTCAGTGGGGAGTCTGCTTCTCTCTCTGCCCCTCCCCCGGCTCACGTGCTCTCTCTCTCTCTCTCTCTCTCTTTTTCTCCCATTCAAATAAATAAATAAATCTTTAAAAAATCCATTGCTGTATTGCTGAGCCTTTTCTAGCCAGAAAAAAAAAAAGGTTTTTTTTTGTTAGTAAATAAATAACATCAATTTACTTCTTATTTTACATAAAACAGTGCTTTACTTCAAGGCTAATCCCAGGTACTGCTCTAGAAAATCACATCGTGGCTTTCTGCTCTTTACTCTGTCACAACTTTTTGTTCCTGGCAGGGGTTCCTCATTTACCTTCTGTTCCTTCAAGGCTGGACTCTAACCAAAACCGTATTCCCCCAACTTTTGTGCTCGTAGCCTCTCTTTCTACCCCAAACTCTAGTGGCTACTTGGGCAGTATATATATTTCAAATTATATTCCCAAATATTCTAATTGGTTTTTTCTTTATATTGTAGGGTCATTCTTGTGGCTTTCCATGATGTCTCAAAGCATGGGTGATGATAACCCCAGTAGTTTAGACACTAATGAACCAGAAATTGAACCAGAAAACATGAGAGAGAAGTTCTTCAGAAGCTTAGCAGTGTTACTGGAAAACAAAAGTAATAATACCAAGATATTTTCTAAAGCAAAGTACTGTCAGTTAATAAGGGAAGTGAAAGAGGCAAAAGCGAAGGCAAGAAAGGAATCTGTAGACTATCGTCGCTTAGCTAGGTTTGATGTGATCCTCGTGCAAGGAAATGAGAAGCTGATTGAGGCTACAAATGGGGAAACAGACAAAGTGCGGTATTACTTACATAGCGAGGAGTTATTTGACATTCTGCATGATACCCATCTCAGCATTGGACATGGCGGGCGTACCCGCATGGAGAAAGAGTTACAAGCAAAATACAGGAACATCACAAAGGAAGTTATAATGCTATACCTGACACTCTGTGGAGCATGCCAACAGAAAAATGTGAAACTCAAGAAAGTTCTAACATCAAAGCCAATGAAGGAAGTGAATTCGAGATGCCAAGTGGATCTTATAGACATGCAGTTGAATCCCGATGGGGAGTATAAATTTATTATGCATTATCAAGACCTTCGTACAAAGTTGAGTTTCTTGCGGTCACTAAAATCTAAAAAGCCTAAGGAAGTTGCACATGCCCTTTTAGATATTTTTACAATTATTGGAGCACCCAGTGTCCTACAGTCTGACAATGGGAGGGAATTTTCAAGCCAGGTTGTCCGTGAACTCAGTAATATTTGGCCAGAATTAAAAATTGTCCATGGGAAGCCTCTACCTTGTCAAAGCCAAAGTTCTGTGAATCAAACTAATGAGGATATTCAAACTAGGATTATCTCCTGGATGCAAACTCACCAATCATCACACTGGGCTGAATTTTTGTGGTTCATTCAGATGACCCAGAATCAGCCCTATCACCGAGGCATGCAGCAGACTCCACCTGAAGGCACCTGGGGCTCTGAAGCTAAACTAGGCCTGTGTCATTCCCAGTTACCCGAAGACCTTCCTGCTAGCCTGAGTCCAGAAAACGGATCAGAACAAAGTGCAGCAGGAGCACAGTGTGAAGAGAACATGGAGACTGGCATGGACAGCAGTGACCTTGAAGACCATCTTTCTATTCCTCCCACCGGGGCCGTGAAGAAGCCTCCTGAAAACAGACTAAGATTCATACCCTGTGTGGTGTGTGAGAAGGAATGCTCGGGTGCTCATAGTTGCGTATCGTGTGATGGAAACGTCCGTGCGGTGTGTGGAGTGCCCCGGCAGCAAGACCCCGAGGACTGTCATCACAGAATGACGTGCAGCCTCTGCTACGAGACCACAACAATGAAAAGGAAGCATGACGAGGCCCAGAGAAGTTTGACTGGTCAGCCTTTCAAAATGCTGAAGCCGTCAGAGACGCCATTTCCCTCAGACGACGTAGGAGATTGGGTAAGAGTCCGAGCATCTGCTGCAGATCAGGGCGGGGAAGAGCTTTGTTACTGCCCACGTGCTCGCAGGGGAGGGTGTTTGGGCGTGCCGGAGACGCTGAAGCACAGTGGCCGGCTTGATTTTGTTTTCTCCACAGAGAAAACCCCATTACTGTTAATGCGCCACCCCCACCAACAGTTTTTCGCAGGTTGGAAGTTATAACCTTGAATCCTGCTTGGTATGTTGTCTGGGGTTATGACAGTATCTCTTCTACTCCTTTCTGGTGTCAGGCATTTCCTGGGGGGTGGGGTGGGAAAGCTAAGGGTGCGTTTCTCCAGGAGGATGAATGTGGGAAAAGCGGGACTTAACGTTACTTTGTTGTAATTGCCTGTGAGTTTGGGTGGGGAGGTAAGCTAGGAAAGGGCTTCTCAGGGCAAGTGAAGAAGTATTTAGGGGGAGGGATGATCAGTTTGATAGTGAGGTATCTCATATGAGACATGAGATTGTGAGATGTTTGTGTTGAGAAAAGCTGTTTACAGATTTAAATGGAGCGCATGAGATAAGGCCAAAGAGATGTGTTTGAAATCAGCAGGTTTTATAAAGTAGAGTTACTGTGTGTGGAGTTTAGAGTTTCCAAATATGGAGGCTACCCATGATTTGGGTCAGTGGTGCCTGGAGTGTGATCTTCAGACCAACTCTGGTCTGCAGACAGTTTCTACTAGTTTACAGAGTGGTAAGTACATTAAGGAGGAGTTAGAACAATTTGACATTGCTGTAGCACCCCGGCATGTGATTCCTGAAGTCGTGATTTTGAATAGAACACGGGTGGGTTTGGGGGTCACTGACCTGTTGGGGCCAGTCCTCATGCTGGGAGGTACACAAGGTCAGGCACAGTGACAGCATGTGATGTCTGATGGCCAGTCTGTCTGCTGTCACTCGGAAACATGTAAACCTTTATTTACCTTCGTAACTTAATTTTAAAACCATTTTTAAGTTTTTAATCAAGCCTAGTTTTTAATCTGTAGTTTGTTACCAGAAAAAGGAGGAAAGTAAAATTTGTATTATTTATTTTTAATCCTAATTTGCAGATGGCGAAACAAGCCTCACTAGACTTTTTTGTCAAGAAAAAACATACCTTTTCTGAATATAGCAGCCGTACTAAGAGAAATGGTAACAATGGAAGTCGCCCAGAGCAGGGGAAAACCAGAAGAGTTCACACAGGTTTTACTCGGAAGTATGACCCCTCGTATATTGAGTTCGGGTTTGTAGCCGTAATCGATGGCGCAGTGCTGAAGCCGCAGTGCATTATATGTGGAGACATCCTGGCCAATGAAGCCATGAAACCATCGAAGCTGAAGCGGCACTTGTATTCAAAACATAAAGAGATAAGTTCGCAACCGAGAGAATTCTTTGAGAGAAAGAGCAGTGAATTAAAAAGCCAGCCAAAGCCGGTGCTGAATGTTTCTCACATAAACATCAGTGCTCTGCGGGCGTCCTACAAGGTGGCGCTCCCGGTCGCCAAGTCTAAGACGCCGTACACGATCGCGGAGACGCTGGTGAAAGACTGCATCAGAGAAGTCTGCCTGGAGATGCTGGGTGAGTCCGCAGCCAAGAAGGTGGCCCAGGTGCCGCTTTCCAACGACACCATAGCCCGGCGCATTCAGGAGCTGGCGAGCGACATGGAGGACCAACTTGTAGAGCAAATAAAAGCAGCAAAGTACTTTTCGTTGCAGCTTGATGAATGCAGAGACGTTGCTAACATGGTCATTCTTCTGGTGTATGTGCGGTTCGAACATGATGATGACATAAAGGAAGAATTCTTCTTTTCAGCCTCTTTACCGACAAACACGACTAGCGCGGAGCTGTATGAAGCTGTGAAGAATTACGTTGTCAACAAGTGTGGTCTGGAGTTCAGGTTTTGTGTGGGAGTGTGTTCTGATGGCGCGGCGTCCATGACAGGAACGCGTTCTGAAGTGGTGACCCAGATCAAGGAGCTGGCCCCAGAGTGCAAAATAACACATTGCTTCATTCATCGAGAAAGTCTGGCCATGAGAAAGGTGTCCGCGGAGCTAAACAGTGTGCTCACTGACACGGTAAAAATCGTGAATTATGTCAAGTCTAACGCGTTCAATTCCAGACTGTTCTCTTTGTTGTGCGACAACATGGAGGCTGACCACACGCAGCTGTTGCTGCACGCCGAGATGCGCTGGTTGTCTCGGGGAAAGGTTCTGTCGAGAATGTTTGAAATACGAAATGAACTCCTAGTGTTTCTGCAAAGCAGGAAGCCAGTTTGGTCCCAGCTTTTCAGAGATGTGAATTGGACAGCCGGACTTGCTTATTTATCTGATATATTCAGTATTTTTAATGATCTTAACGTTTCCATGCAAGGGAAGAATGCAACCTGTTTTTCAATGGCTGATAAGATTGAAGGACAAAAACAGAAATTAGAAGCCTGGAAAAACAGAGTTTCTGCAGATTGCTATGACATGTTTCATAATTTAACAACAGTGATCCAGGAAGCAGGTAATGACCTTGATGTTGTCCATCTGCGGAAAGTTATCAGTGAACATCTTACGAATCTGTTGGATTGTTTGGAATTGTATTTTCCTTCAAAAGAAGATCCACGTGTGGGAAACTCGTGGGTCCAAAACCCATTTCTTCCGCCAAAAGATAATTTAGATTTAACTGTAACCCTGCAGGATAACTTGTTGAAGCTGGCTGCTGATGAAGGATTGAAAACGAATTTTGAAAATACAGCATCGCTTGCTTCATTTTGGATAAAAGTTAAAAATGAGTATCCTGAACTAGCTGAGGTTGCTTTAAAATCCCTCCTTCTGTTCCCCTCAACATCCCTCTGCGAGACTGGGTTCTCCACTCTAAGCGTTATTAAAACAAAACACAGGAACAGTTTAAATATCCATTATCCCCTGAGAGTAGCGTTGTCATCAATCCAGCCGAGGTTAGACAAATTAACAAGCAAGAAGCAAGCTCACTTATCCCATTAAGAACTTGAGTTGTCCAGGCAGAGCACGCACTTACACATCGCGGAACAGGAAAGGCTACGATTAAAATAACAGTTCTCTGTGTATATTGTCTATATGTACACTTTCAGTTAAATGTATAGTTTTTATAATTTTTTTATTCTTTCTTATATTTGTTATATTTATTAAAATGTAACTTTAAATCTCTTGCTTCTTCTATTAAAAAATTTGGTCCTGTCTTTCGTATGCCTTTGTCACTGTTGTGTTTCCTCAGGGTATTCAGATTGTAGGACGGCTTCAGGCTGGCAGTGATTTCTTGGAGATGGTGTCTCAGCCTACTGACGGGAAGGGAACTCGGGGCTGGAATCAGACTCGGAATGCCAGGGTCGGGGCGGGGGGCGGGCTTGTGCAGCTGGTCCTGGGGGAAGCTGACGTGAAGGTTCCTCCGTAGGTGTGTGCTTAGACAGTGTGGCTGAGGTGGGGAAGCACTCCCTTGTCATGGTGTCATGGCTTTGGACTCCACGTTGGTTAGTTCCGATTTCGTCACAGTTGGGGAGCGGGCCATAGTGAGGAGCTGAGGTTGGGTACAGCTCTCTAGACTTTGCTTGAGCCGATCGCTGTAAGGTTTTGTGGGACAAAGCCATGTACTGGCTTTGATGTAATAACTTTTACCACGTGGAGATGATTCTGGATATGCCACACACCTGCACTCGCTCAGAAAGTGGAATTGCTTTCCCTCTACCTTTCATTTTTTAGGAATATTTGTCTTTCCTCCATTTCTTCCTCCGCGTGTCTAATTGTCTTACTGTACATTTTTTTCTTCAGTGTCTTCACTGAGCTATAGTTTACATGAAAACGTGAATTTGACGACTGGTGATGCTGTAAGTCAGATGTGAGACATTTTTCTGCCCGTTGTCTGCTGGTTCAGCAGTGAGTTCCCATACTGTGGACACATGTGTGCGTATTCCCATGCGCACGTGTGACTTTGGTGTTTGTCCCATTTATCAGGACGGGCGTGTTGTTCTAAAATTGTATTTATAGTTATTGATGTGTAGCAGGATGTCGTGTTTACTTTTCCTCTTTCGCAAAAGATGGCAATGAGAGGGGCCAGAGATGGGTCAAGGAGATTCTGAGTACCCCCTATTCCAAAGAACGGTTGGCATGCTTTGACCCAGAAGCCTCCTGCCTTTCACGCAGCAGAGCACACAGACACACCTCCCAGTGTCAGAAGCCACTTGTAAGTGACGCCTTCAGGAAGAGGGCCCTTGCATTTCACTTCCAGACTGGGTGCTAGTCTAGCCAGGGGATGTGCTCACCGGCTCTGTGACCATGCGAGCAGGAAGAAGAAGCTGGAGAGAGGTGTTTCGACCTGCAGGAGATTGGCCCACGGTCCCACAGTTTGGCACAAAGATGGGTCAGGTGACATCAAGGAGTGTAGGTCTGAGTCCTCAGCTAGTGTTCCAGCCGGGAAGATGGTCCTCCGGCCAGGAGAGCCCGCCAGCAAAGGCTGCTGATGTTTATAGCCGCTGGGACGTGAAGGACATGAAGGAGGGGAAGCTGAAGGTAAATTATGTTCTAGACACACATTTGTGGGCAAAGCCCCCACAGACGTCCTGAGGAAGTCTCACACGTTCCCCATAAGAAAGCTAGAATTCCAGGGTTTAATCATGTTAGGAATTTACACTTTGTGTGTGCACGCGTGTGTTCACACTGACACCTTCAGCCGAACCCTGGCCTTGTCGTGGGCTTTGTTGTCATGAGCAGGGCTGAGTTTGGGGAAAGCAGGTTAGAAGAGGGATGTGCAGTGACAGCTCAACTGCATGCCCGCAGGTCTCTCCTGAGTAACAGCTTGCAGGATGTCTTTCCTGGTGTTTACCAAGATAGAGTATTCTGAACGTTCAAAAACTATGGAGCTAGGTAATACATATTTTTAATTATAGGCCTCACTACAAATAAGAACTTTGTTTTTTGTTTATTTGCTTAAGAGAGATCAGCAGCGGGGCCGGGCAGGGTGGGGAGGGAGAGTCCTAAGCAGAGTCAGCCAAGGGCAGAGCCGGATGCAGGGCTCAACCTCAAGACCCTGAGGTCATGACCTGAGCCAGAACCAAGAGTCAGACGCTCAACCGACTGAGCCACCCAGACGCCCCTACATTAGAAATTATGACGATGAAATAAAAACCTATTTGCTGGTTCAAAGAACATAGTATGTGCTTTGTATTCTCATATACTTAAGTTGAATTTACTATCAGTTTATATTATTGTTGGTTATTATTGATTGATACAATTATGGTTTTAGTTAATTAAGCCTTGGGTTCATTAAAAAATATAAAAGGGAAAGAGCCTCAGGCCATTATGGACTATATGACTTTTTTTTTTAAGATTTTATTTATTTATTTGACAGAGAGATCACAAGTAAGCAGAGCGGCAGGCAGAGAGAGACGGGGAAGCAGGCTCCCCAGTGAGCAGAGAGCCCGATGCGGGGCTCAATCCCAGGACCCCGAGATCACGACCCAAGCCGAAGGCAGAGGCTCAACCCTCTGAGCCACCTGGCACCCCGGACTGTATGACTTTAAAGAGTGTGATTATAATTATAATGTGCTTTACCTTAGTAAACACTATTTTTGACTGAAATCTCCTTTGCATCTTTAGGAGGGCAAATTTTCCAAATTGCCATTTTCCAATCTGAAAAATCTTCTCTCATAGTTAATGTAAGGAACCAGAAGTGAACTCAGAGTGACTGGAGTATGAAGGAACGCAGGGCACTGTAGGTGGGAAACATGGCTGGAGATGGTTCACGAGGACAGACCCAGGTAAGGAGTGTAGCCTTCATCCTGAAGACCCGGGGAAGCACTAAATGGATGTTAGATAGAAGGTGACTGGAGTTATGTGTTAGCAGGATTTCTCTGCCCGCAGCTTGGCCGGTGACCCAGAATGCTAGAGGCAAGAAAGCCATGTCCTGTCACGGGCTAGATTGGTGGTCGTGGTGTGGTTGGGGCATGGCTGTCAGGATGAAAGAAAAGGGACATATTTGAGAGGCTCAGTATTGTAAGGGTGCCAGTTTCCAATCCTACTGAATTTCCCAATAGAGGTTTCATGCCTAAGAACAATGATCGATCGATCTATCTATCTATCTATCTATATATATATATACACACTTATACATACACACATATATATGTGTATATATGCAGGGGGTCAGACTTGCCAGGAACATTAAAAAAAAAGATGAGGAAACTTGCTTATGCTCACCTTGAACACTGAAACTTACCATGAAGCCATAATGTAAGACAAGGTGGTGTGAGAACAGAGAATGACAAAGAAACCACCGGGGAGAAGAGGGATCCCACAAGCAATCCCATTGATCTATGGAAGCATGATACGACAAGGCTATTCCTGCTCAACAGAGAAAAGAAAAAATTGATTATCCATTTGGGAGAAAATAAAATTGGATCCCTAAATTCTAAATATATTAAAGATGTGAATGTGAAATGCAAAGCTATAGAACTTTTTTGTAAGCTATGACCCAGTGAAGTTGAAGATGGTCCACTGTTGGCTATGTGTCCGGCAGCTGCAGGAGCCGGGCCTCCAGCGCTCATGACACCAGTGCTAACGAGAGCCCAGACGTCCATTCACAGAGTAAAACGTACCTACTCAACAACGAGCTACAGTAGCAACGTTGAGTCACCGCTGAGAATTGGGGGGGGGTTGATGGAATATATATGTATTTGTCAAAGCTCATCAAATTATGTGATTAAGATGGGTGTGTTTCGTTGTATGTACACTGTACCTCAATAAAATTTGCTTTAAAAACGGGTGACCTGGGGCGCCTGGGTGGCTCAGTGGGTTAAGCCTCTGCCTTCGGCTCAGGTCATGATCCCAGGGTCCTGGGATCGAGCCCCACATTGGGCTCTCTGCTCAGCAGGGAGCCTGCTTCCTTCTCTCTCTCTGCCTGCCTCTCTGCCTACTTGTGATCTCTCTCTCTGTCAAATAAATAAATAAAATCTTAAAAAAAAACAACGGGTGACCTGTAGTTACGTCAACATGGGCTTAATTCAAGGGTACAGTATCGAAGGAGAAAGCAACGTTGCCCGGCAATACTGAAGTCTTGCTCAATCCATATCAGAAGAAGCTTCATGAAGAGTTTTGAAAGTCTGAAAACCTAAACAGCACAAGTGAGAAATACGATGTGGTACAAGTATGAAGAAGGAGAACACCACAGAATGTGAAAACAGAACTCCAGATAGAGGTCCCCTGCGTCAGGTCAGGGAAGTGACTTTGGGAGGGCACTCTGGTCATAGTTGGTTCTTAACACATGTGGTGAGGACACTGCTGTTCAACTTATGGGGGATTTTTGTTTTAATGCCTTGTACGCGTGTTATATTCTTTGATATCTTTTCAAAGGTCAAGGTACAAGACAATTAGTTAATAGAATATAAATCTGAAAAAAGTGATGCTGAACACAGGCAGCAACCTCTTTGACCTCAGCCGCAGCAACTTCTTCCTAAAAACATTGCCGAAGGCAAGGGAAGCAAGGGCAAAAGTGAACTATTGGGACTTCATCAAGATCAAAAGCTTCTGCACAGCAAAGGAAACAGTTAACAAAACCAAAAGACAACTGACAGAATGGGAGAAGATATTTGCAAACGGCATATCAGATAAAGGGCTAGTATCCAAAATCTATAAAGAACTTCTCAAACTCAACACCCAAAGAACAAAGAATCCAATCAAGAAATGGGCAGAAGACATGAACAGACATTTCTCCAAAGAAGACATCCAGATGGCCAACAGACACATGAAAAAGTGCTCCACATCACTCAGCATCAGGGAAATACAAATCAAAAGCACGATGAGATACCACCTCACACCAGTCAGAATGGTACAATTAACAAGTCAGGAAATCACAGATGTTGGCGAGGATGTGGAGAAAGGGGAACCCTCCTACACTGTTGGTGGGAATGCAAGCTGGTGCAATCACTCTGGGAAACAGCATGGAGGTTCCTCAAAAAGTTGAAAATAGAGCTACCCTATGACCCAGCAATCACACTACTGAGTATTTACCCTGAAGATACAAATGTAGGGATCCGAAGGGGCACGTGCAGCCCAATGTTTGTAGCAGCAATGTCCACAATAGCCAAACTATGGAAAGAACCTAGATGTCCATCAACAGATGAATAGATAAAGAAGATGTGGTATATATACACAATGGAATACTACGCAGCCATCAAAAGAAA